ACGTTTCGTTATTCAATCCGTCGTAACGAACGCCCAGATATCCGTCAATCTTGGAAAATCCAATTCTTTCTTTGGCAATGTCTATAGTGTTATAAAATTAACTTTAGTCGAGAGACAGAAACTCTCCAGTTCTCAGCTTGGATCGCTCGAATCAACAAACCTCGAATCAATTGGAAACCTAATGTACACACACAATAACCCGTTCTCTGACTCCGAGAACCGAAAAGAACGTCAACCGAGCATCAGTTGGAATTCTGTGCAAAGACAATCGTCAGAGAGCAGCAGCTCTTCTTCTCAAAGAGGTTCCCACAGCTACTTCAGCAGCTCCAGTAGCGAAGAGAACTTTATTCCTGATCCTGAACCTACAGCAGAATTGCACCTGGCTCCGAACGTTCCGCTGTTACCCTTCTTTATCGGCTACAAGGGCAAGAATATTCAGATGTCCGATAAGGTCAATGTTGTGGACAATGCCTACAACATAATCTCTCAAATAGCCGATGAACTGCAAAATCCCTCTCAGTTGCCGAGCGTACACTTGCTGGAGAAATACGTAATCTTGAAAAACCTCCTTCGCGTCATGAACTATGAACAATACACTGATTTAGTGAATCGCGTCTATAGTGGGGACGGAATACGGGATAAACAGCGTCATACAGATAGCAAGGCCGTTTTACGCGACGCAGTCGCACAAGCTGGAACTGGACCTGCTTTGCTGACTATTCAAAATTGGCTACATAATGGAAAACTTGGTGACGCAGAAGCGGCACGAGTTATCTCCCAAATTCCCAAGAACGTTCGCAAACCAACAGCAAAATATGTTAGAGCATTTTTCGTAAGTATCCGTTTACAATAGCGTGTTAAGAATCAAGCGTCTTTTAATTCTTCCTATCCAGTCGATATGATTTATTATATCAGCGATTAAAAATCTTGGTGAAAAAATATCTCAGAATTTTTCATATTATTAATCAGAATTTCTATAAAAATTTCCTGATTTTCTCAGAATTTTTCAGATTTTTTATATAAATTGGAACGTTTTTCAGAAAAACTCAAATAAAATAAGAATAAAATATTTTTCGCTAATATATCTTTGTAGATATTTGAATAAATATGAGAAAATCTGTGCAATTTATAGAAATTTTCATACATACGGATACTAAAATATTCCGAAAATCTTTATCCAATTATTTCTGAAAATATCTGACAATGAGACATATATTTTTTCAGAATTTTTCATAAGTTCCAATTCTTGCAAAATTTCTGAGAAAATATGAGAAAAATATAAGAAATTTTTTCACCATGGAATTATATAAAAATAAAATTAAAATTAATTTTAATTTTGTGATTTCTGTGTAGGATATGATTGTCCATCCAGCAGTATTGCAACAGAAATATGTGAATGTGTCCGCGCCTTTAGCTCTTGGCGAATTGATCCAGAATGGTCAAACCATCTGGGAATTATCTCCGAAACAGAGTTCCAGTCCTATGAGTGCGAAAGATAACAATGCAGTGATCGACCTCGTTATTTCCTATCTGACTGATAAACTGAAAGAAGGCTTCGACGAAAACAACGGTCAAAAAATTCAAACATTTATCTTGGCACTGGGTGTTACCGGCCATCAGAAGATTATCTCGGTCTTTGAGCCGTACTTAGAAGGCACGCAGCCGGCGTCGAATTTCCAACGTTTGGTCATGGTATCTTGCTTGTACGTCTTATCCAGAACCCAACCGAAATTAGTTGGGCCCATTTTCTACAAGCTCTACGTGAACGAGCTCGAAGATCACGAGATACGTTGCGTAGCGGTAATGTTATTTATCGTGACCAATCCACCTCTGATTACAATGCAACGCGTAGCGAAATACACCCATTACGATAAGAACGAACACGTGAACTCTGTCGTAAAGACCACGCTACAGAGCCTCGCTAATACGAAACGATTAGAATTGCACAATATCGCTGCCAAGGCGCGCCTTGTCACACATCTATTGAATCCTAAGAAAAATGCTAATGCTAACTTGTTGTCACGAAACTACTACAAAGACATTGAAAACAGGATCGTTAGGAGATTTAGTCTGCAAACTGTCGGCAGTGACAATAGCCCACTACCTGTACTTGTACACGTTGGTGTACATACCATCTTCGATTTCATGAAGCAGCCTACCATGGAAGCAGGATACACAATATCGAACATCCAGCAGTTAATTGGTAAACTTTGGCCCTCGGAGGAAGAAAACGGGAGAGAAGAAGCACCACAAAAATCGCGCGTTGAAAAGCTTGCGCAAGCACTTAAGATCAAACCCGAATACCTGAACAAGTTGGAAGGAAGCGTTTACCTTGACACGATATACGGTTTGATATTCTATCCCTTTGAGAGTAACTCAGTTCCCAGCTTTTCCAATCGTAAGTATTCTGAATTGTACTTTAAAATTAAATTACTTTTAAAGATATAAATTATAACTATTATTGCATTACAGTGCA